TAAAAATAAAGTCATTTAAAAAAATAATCTCTGCAAACAAAATTAATTGATTGAATTAATTGAATTATCATCACATGATACAAATTATGACGACTATCATTATAAAATTAAAATGTATTTTTCCTAATACTTAAGGCAATTGACGTAAATTTCTTACCAAAAGTATTTCAAATATTTATTTAAAATTACAGTTTTTTTTTTAGAATTTCAATTAGCCAAATGAAAAGTGTTTTAATGGAAAAATAAATAACATATTGAAAAAATTTAAATATCAGGGATAATTCACTTATAAGTTAAAAATAAATTAGAAAGGTTAAAATGCCAACATATAAACAAATTTTTAAGGAAAATCGGCAGTTGTAACAAAAGTTAGTGGATTTTTTATAAAAAAAGGATTATGCACTAACCTGTTATTCCATAACTGAACCGATTTGCTTGGGGAATTGCCGCATACTGCTATCATTGATGGGTTTTGGGTGATTACCATTTGGTGAAATGAGTTCTGAACATGGGCAATCGATATCTCTGCGTTATAATTAAGAATCTTGGTATCTCAGAGTTATATCAACATCATGTCATTATATCAACATCATTTGCTTTACTATTACATAGCCAATAAAAGATTCGTACCATTTCGAAGGAAATCTATATTTCAACAAGTAAGAAATTATAGTCGGACTAGGCTAGGCTTTATATAGGGGCTAGGGTCAAATGAGGCCCTATAATTATAAAATTCATTAGGTTCATCAAGGCTAGTATAAACTTAATTGTGAACATAATTATGAACTAAAAAGCCCTATTCGACGGGTTCAGTTGTATGGGCGCTAGGAGAAATAATGAACCGATGTCAACCTTAGGCATCGTCCCTGGGACAATAGAATATTATGTGCCAAATTTTCATTGAATTATCTTCAAAATTGCGTAATTGTATAATTATATTTGTATATCGAACGTCGCAATTTGGGCAATTTTTTCAGGATAGGAGTATTTCGTCAATGTTTCGGACTCTACAGTCTTAGTTATCAGTAACAGCAGCAGAATCTCCGAAGAAGTGGATATTTCTAAACACTTTCGACCCATGTTACTTATTCATACACATTCAAATCTTTATATATTTTTGAGATCAAATAATTTATTATCTCTAGCATTGAATTCTTTAAATACCGGACCTTCTAAGGTAATTCTTTGTTTCATAATTCTGAAATGTGACATTCCACATTAAGGTCGGCCTCAAAATTGAACAACTTGGTACTTCTAAAATATATCACCTGATCACTTGCTGGACAGAGTGGCCAGAAAGCATTATGCCAAGTTGCTACAAATCGAAAGTTGTAGTGCGTTCTCCTCATATATACGAAGTTGCTTCCTGACATGACCCGGCCAACGTCAAGCTGTGCAATATTGGCATTTTGGTCATCTTATGAGCTGTTGGCTAATGGTTTGAGGATGTCGTTTCTACTTTATAATTTGTTCGTGGTTAAAGTAAGCTGTGGTGGTTGGAAAGGAAACTTCTAAAAGGTTTGAGTGTTTCACAGTTATAATTCGAGTTCCAAGATTAAGCTTAATCTCCCTCTTAAAGAGTGTTGCTGAAGTTTATCCAGAATGAAGATTTAGTGTAATTCTACGAAATAATCTTTCCATTTTATGAAATAATTTTGGTTGTAGTTTTGATTGCTAATAGTTGTAGATTATGGGAGAGGACAAAAACCTGTGGATTAATTAATTCTACAGGAATTTGAGTTTTTTTTTTTTTTTAATTTAAACTTCATGTACTTCATGTGGGTCACTCAAAGTTTAAATATCTTCTTATTGTTGGGCATTTTGGATAGCAGGTCATTTTACCTCTACTAGGTTAAGTCATATGTGATCTAAATGACAATACACAGGTAGGGGAGAGGACAAAGACCTGTGGAACTTTGTAATTAATTCTACGTAGATTAGAGGATTGTTTCATAAACTTCAAAGTTTAAATATCTTCTTATTGTTGTGAATTTTGGATAGCTGGACATCTTGTCTCTGCTAGGTTAAGTCATGTGTGATCTAAGCTCCCACAGGCGCATTTGAAGGAATTTATACTGGTGGCGAGCAGATCTTATGTCGTGTAACATTTGGATGAAGAGAACAGCTTCAATGATCTTCCTGAATGATGAGAAGAGAAAATATCGAGTTTCTCTCGAGTGCTTACCTGTTTTCAGAAGTCACCGGAGTGGGTTTGTCCGACACTAGTAGCTTGTGATGTTTACGAATAACGCTTCTTTTAGTTTTATCTCACTTTCTCTCACTCCTTGTTTAATAAAAGGGCGGTAAACTTGATCTGAAACTGTCATACTTCATCGTCGTGTTTGGAGAGACCGATCTAACCATTTTTACGTTTGTTCTTATCTACTTCTGTTATCTGTTGATATCGCAGTTTAGATGGAAAAATTTGCCTCTGCTATGTCATATGTGATCTAAGTGACAATAGCTCCCGCAGGTAGGGGAGAGGACAATAACCCGTGGAACTTCGTAATTAATTCTACGTTGATTAGAGTTTATTTTTCTTAAACTTCATGAACTGTAGGCCATTCAAAGTTTAAATAATGTTTTTTGTATAGCAGGACATCTTGTCTCTGTTAGGTTAAGTCATGTGTGATCTAAGCTCCCACAGATGCATTTGATGGAATTTATACTGGTGGCGAGCAGATCTTATGTCGTGTAACATTTGGATGAAGAGAACAGCTTTAATGATCTTCCTGAAAGATGAGAAGAGAATATATCGACCTGTAGGAGTTTCACTCAGGTGCTTACCTGTTTTCAGAAGTCACCGGAGTGGGTTTGTCCGAGACTGATAGCTTGTGATGTTTGTGAATAACGCTTGGTTTAGTTTTATCTCACTTTCTCTCACTCCTTGTTTAATTAAAGGCCGGTACACTTGATCACTAAACTGTCATACTTCATTGTCGAGTTTGGAGAGACCGATCTAACCATTTTTAACGTTGTTCTTATCTACTAACATGTTAATATCGTTGTTTAGATGGAAAAACCTTGGGTCATGGGGGCTTTTTTATAGCATCGATGCCTCTCTGGAAAGTACGACTTAAAAACGGCAGAATTTAAGTGAGTGCCTTATACGATTACAGTTTCACGAAATATTCTATGTGAGTAGTTGCATTCTCTCATGCTAAGGGCGTTGTTGGGCGCATTGTTTCTGCTCAGTGTTATGAACAACATGAGTTCTTATGTTCTTAATACCGGGTATAATTGCCGTTATATTGTACTTATAATATAGGAAAAGAGGTTATGTAGAACTTCATATCCAATCTACCCTACACCACTTTAGTGGGGAGGGTATATTGGATTTGTGCTGATGTTTGTAACATACAAAAATATTCGTCCTAGACCCACCTTAAAGTATAGCAATCGGCTGAGAATCGTTTTCTGAGTCGATTAAGCTATGTCCGTCCGTCCGTCTGGCTGTCCATGTAAACCTTGTGCGCAAGGTACAGGTCGCAATTTTCAAGATAATTGGATGAAATTTGGCATGCACGTTTTATTTGACCCAAGGACGAAGCCTATTGAAAATCGGTCCATTATTTCACCTAGCCCCCATAGAACAGAACCCCCCGAAAAGGGCTTCTGAGCTCATAATTATGTTAAATATACAGATATCGATAAAATACGGCACAACTAAGTTTTATAGAATTCTTGATGACCCTGCCAAATTTCATAAAGATCGGGCCCCATTTGACCCTAGCTCCCATACAAAGTCCCCTTCAGAAAATTACTTGAATGTCCCAAATTAACTTATAAACACAAATATCGCGATGAAATTCAGCACAATAAAATATTATGTAAATATAAATATATTCACAAAATTTTATCGGGCTTGGTCCATATTTGCCCCTAGGCCCCATATAAAGCCTCTTTCAGAAAATTAGTTTTTCATCCATAAATTGCTTAAATGTATCGGAACAAGTAAATATTGAAAATAAATGCTTTACTATGAAAAATAAATCACATTTAATATTCATAACTGGTGTAGGGTATCATATGGTCGGCCTCGCCCGACTATACTTTCTTACTTGTTTTTTTTTGTAACTCGGAGATTGAGCAAAACCCAAAAAAGTTTTTTTGGTTCTACTAGAAAATCCAATAAACTTTTCAATTTAACAAGTATTTTTTTAAGTTTTGTTTTATTTTGATTATGTATATACTTTTTTTGTTTTTGTTTTTTAATTAACTTAAATTATTTTAAGTCCACTATACATAAAAGTGATATATTGTGTTTATAATATTTATAAATGTTTTTTCTTTAATAATTTTTTTTTTCATTTGTTTTGTTTTTGTTTTCAAATAATTTACTAGTAGCATTTCAATTCAATTTGTTACTGATCAGTTTATCTGTTTGTCTCGTTTTATAATGTTAAAGTGATACAATAATGATGTATTATTTTATGTGGAAAGTTATGTACGTATTCATATTTTGTATGATTTATGAATGTTTGGCGATTGTTGATGATGATGATTATATGCGTAGTAATTTATGTTATATTTAAAGGATTTATGATGTTATTTTGTAGTTCTAAAATATGATCTTTGCCTTTCGTAAGCTTTATTTATATATTTTTTTTTTTATAATTTTTCTTAAAAACATATAGTAGATGTATGTACGTATGTATGCATTTATGTATGTAGTATGTATTTAGTATAATTAATTAATTAAATTGAATATACATACATTATTTTATAAATAATAGTTTTAATTGTTTCGTTTTTATTTTATTAATATATTTATTTGTTTTATGTTTTATATCAACTTTAAAAAAACCAATAAAAATAAAAACACAATAAAATGCACAAAAACCTGACTTAACAATGTTTTCGCTTATTTTGAAAATTGCAAACTCTTAGTAGTTTATTAATATTTTTTTTAATTTTAATAAATATCAACATAATACACTTTTTAGAAGTGTTTAAGAGAACAAAAAATAAAATCATAATACGCACAAAGAAATAAAAATAAAAAAAAATATTGATTTTTATTTTATCATTGTTAGCATTTGTTTAAATATATAACACAAATAATTTTTTTTTTTTCAATAGTATACCTTATATTAGCCCCTAGATTTAAAAAAGAATTGTATAAAGACACCTTGTTATTAGTTTTATTGGGTTTATCGTGTTTTTCCATTTATCATTTAACAATAATCAGTTATTATAGTGCAACACTTTTCTTTTTTCTCATACGAAAGTATCCTTGTTTTTTCTTTATTTGAAATAAAAGCGCAGGTGCCTTTAGAGTCTGTTGAAAAATTTCCATTTATTATGGAGATGTGTGTGTGTTTGTGTGTGTTGTGTGGGTGAGGGAGTGTTAGTATTTCTATAATAATTTTATTTTTTTATAAACTTATTAGATTTGGGAAACTTGTCGGCTTCAAAGTCGGGATCCTTCTTAAGACGTTCTCGTACATTAGTACGTACGGCATCTATACATGATGATTGCACTGCTGCATCACTAGCAATTGCTCGGGCAACATCTTCGGGGGTGTGGCTTTGATTGGCGGATGTTGATGTACCAAGTCCTGGATTTTGTATGGCTTTTCTTACACTGTCAGCTATTATAGCACCAATTTCTGTTGGTGGTTTTGAATTTTGTACCAGCTTTCTTCGTTTCGATGACATACCTGATATGTAAGCATCCGAAAATGGTGGCTGTTCGGTAGGATTCTGTAAAAAGGGGGCGAGCGAAAGAAATGATGTCAAACAGGAGATCATAAGTTTTATGATATTGTGAGTATACAAGAATGCATTGGGAAACCCTTGACTAAACGTTTGAAATATACGTTGAAAGAATTACTACTTGCTAATATCTACAAACATCGTTTTTCTGAACTCACTTAGCGTTGTGATGCCTATAATTAAAATAGACAAGGTGGCTACACATTCAATTTTTAAGCAAAAGCTAGTTAAATAATTCAGTTGCTCAAAAGACTCTTCTAACATTTGTTCCAAATATGCCAGGATTTGTGCTAGAAGCGACTCGAGTTAGAATACTCATCATGGTTAGATGGCCAACTTTAGATTCATTTGTAAAACCTAAAAATCATAGGAGTATTTAGTGATTATTACTTTCTGCTTCCATAATTAAACCAACCGGTTCCAATGCTAAAATTTGGAATCCCTAAGAAATGGGATACCTAATAGAAAGGGAGATAAGAGCTAATGTTCTCTACTCTTATTGAATTCTCAGGATTATTCAGTGTTATGTATGCTAGTATCACTTGAAATCAAACTTTTCACGTTCTCATGACATGTGGTTCTTTATCTTCGATACGAATCGAAGGTTTTTCCTCAAGGAAAAGCTTTGAACAACAGTAGTCATTTCATTTGTGAAAAAATATCTTACACAAAGAACCAACACCGTTAATGTGTTCCCACGACAATTGGATCTTCGCTCTGGAACGAATTGAGTCATACTCTGTCAAAGACTGTCAACCGAAAGTTTTTTCTCCAAGAGCTATCGGCCACAGTCGAACTGTTAAAACAACAACAACCCTGTTAATACTCAACATTCTTCAGTGATTTATCTTGGTATCAATAGCAATAAAACTTGTCACGTTTCAAAGACAATTGTATCTTTGTTTCGAAACAAAGTAATTCGCAATCGACAAATAATTGTCACATTAGCTGTTTTAATCGTAGCTCTAGGAAAAGACACCGATTACGTACTCTTCTATTGGTAAATCCTCAGCATTTGTCAGTGCTTTATGATACATATGCATATGATATCACATGAAAACAAACTTTTCATGTCCTCACGACAAATGAATCTTTTTTTAAAACGAATGGATTCGCAATCGGTAAATGATTGTAAAGACAGCAACAGCCGTTTCGACCGGAAGTTTTTTCTTCAAAGAAAAGTAGAAACCAGGTAACGTTCCTTTTATTAGTGAATCCTCATCATTCTCCAGTGCTTTATGCTATTAACACTTGTAATCGAACTTGTAATCGAACACGTTCTCACCCACCTAACTTTCCCTACTCTTTTCTGATACATGCATAAACCTTATAGGTTCACCAATGAAACAAAAATTAATCTTTACTGTTTCATAAAAACAAAAGTAAAAAAGAAAAACTTACATCTCTTTGCATCTGGATATCACGTGTTAAAATAGGTAACCAATCGTTGGGGAAATGACGATGCCAAGCAACCGAACCAGGCACAACTGAGGGCAAAGGTTCATCATCAACTTCGGGCTGTGATGTGGTAGCGGTTTCAGACATTTCAACATCTGTGTCCATGGGCTGAGAATGAAAGTAAGCGGGTGGTGAGACAAATGTCTAACATTTAATTTAGTGTTGTTTTTAAATTAGTAAAAGTAGTAAATGATCGAATATAAACTAACCGTTTGCACGTTATTATCATTGGCTGCTGCTGTTGTATTGCGTAAAACAATAAATTGTTGAGCATCAGCTTCATCGGTAGCACTGGGTATAGTTGGGGTTAAATAAACAGCTAAGAATTCAACAACATCACCTTGTAAATCTATGGGGGGTGTTTAAAATAGATTTGTAGAATAATTTTCCTTTGATTTATAATTGTCATAGTAAGTACTTACTAGTTTGAATGGAATTACACAATAAACGCATTAATTGTGCCCAGAATATTTCGGCATTTGCCCGTCCAATGCAAATGTATAAAACACTGTATAAACGTTTGCGAAATTGTTCACAAATTTGTTTAAGCTTCTGTTCAAATTCCTTTAGATTGACAGGATTGCGTTTGAGAAGTTCAATAACCGCGGGCAAAGTACTTCTTAAAATATTGAACAGTGAATCCCTGGAATCGTATTCAGGCTTTTCGTATTGTGGCAAATACAACAAGGATTCGCCAAACCATTGTATTGCACGATTTTATGGCCAGAGGTATGGTGTCATCGTTAATAGGCTGACCTTCGAAAATTTGACTGTTTAAGCAGTTCATCAGTTGGGAGTGTATGTTAAGCCTTTGAGTATCCTGATTTGAGCTGGCTCCAGCATCGGCTGTTGTCGAGGAGGAGGAGGAGGCAGAGGATCCATTGGCAGATGCTGCAGCTAC